GATCAATGCGCCCTCGACTTTCAAACCACCACCTCGAGTCACACTCACGGATACGAAGAGAGAGGTTTGGCTCAAGGACCTTGCGAATCCCGCGATATCTTTAAGACGCCTCAGCCGAACAATTCCCCATGGCATTCGCGGAAGAACGCTACTCGACCAATGCTTGAACAAGAATGTTCCCGCCGAGCGAGCTGTTTGGTTAGCAAAGTGTGTCGGTGCCAATGAGATCAGGGGGTTGAAGAGGAAGGGTGTCAATGGTGCCTTTGTTATGGGTGGTGAACTGAAATGGGCTCGCGACTGGACCGTTTTTGTTGAGCAATTTGTCGATGCCGTTGTTGCTGGTTTTGGTGAGAGTGAATGGAAAAGCCGAGTCACATATGCGTAAGTCGACATGCTTATTGTACCAGAAGCACGGTAGCTAACTGTCACACAGTATCCGCTTAGCAACGAACCTTTACTCAGAGCAGTTGCTAGATCGAGATCATTACCTTGATTGGGTTGTGTCTGGAATTGAGAATAGCCTTCAGTCGCGTCTTCCCATGTGGCTGCTCATTGCTCAGATTTACTGGAAAGACCTTCTCAGGTCACGCAAGTATGGCCGGAGGCTTGTATTTGCTCTACTCAGCCACTTGCATGTGGTAGGTTCACTCGCAACTCTTATTCAAAACGGTTTGACTAAGCAAAACCAGATATCCAACGACCCTGATAAGGATCTTCTTGTGCAACTCTCCAGTAGACTGTCAGCTTTGCTCGGCTCACTAATTCGTTCCAACCCAGAGAGCTTTATCAACCCTGGAGCCTGGTTGACGTACAAGGATACTTTACATGCTTGTGTACGTTCTGATGATGAGCAGGCTCGAAAGGCACTACATGCCATTAATTCACGAAACTCACGGCTGGTTGTGTCTAGTACTGCTTCTCCTCCTGCCGGGCGGAGTCAGCTGGTTAAGTTGCTTGATGCTGCCTTGAAAGAGTCTGGCGATAACCATTTAGCCGCAGCATGCTGGGCAACGAGCGAGAACAAGTCTTTGATAATGAGGACAGTAGTTGAGTGGGCAACTTCGTTCCATCGTCCAGGTTTAGCCAAGGTTTATGCCGCAGCCCGTTTAATTCGGCAATGGAGCCAATTTCGTGTGAACCCTACTACGCCCATCCTCGAGATGCTCGACAACATCGCTCCCAATGACAAGGCACGGAAGAACCTCGTCTATCACCTTGTCACGGAGCTCGTTCGAACCGGCCACTTTTCCGTCTCGCAATATATGCAGTGGACTATCGCTCGTGGTGGTTATCATTGTGGCGCGGAAATCGACCCCGTATCAGGTCCGTGCTCTAGCAGGTTGCTAGTCGAGCTTCCGCTTCATGCTTTATCTGAGAAGAAAAGGGCTGAGAGAGGAAATCTACTAAGACGGGCTGGCAACTATTCGATCGCTGAGGAGGAACAAGACATCACCAACGCAATCAGGGTCGTGAAACATGTTGTGGGGCTCCCTTTACTGTCAGATGATCCATTGTCAGGACGAAAGCCAATGTCATTCAAGAGGCTATTGCAACGGTTGGGCGGTAGCAGTACTGCTCTAAGGAGCAGCATTGGGGCACATTTGCGCGATGAGCTAACTGGGCAGTTCATCATGAAGGGCCATTCTTTGTCTCTGCCTATGTTCACCGCTGTTCGAGACATTATGGAAACGGCCGAAGATTACGCCATGTTATCCGACATTCTTGGAGCTTGCGCGAAGACCGCCGATTCTGACGTTCTGGCGTCGGTTGCCGATACTGTCCATTCAAACTTGCAGATCTTCTGCGCCTTGGATAGCGCAGATGAACTGTTTAACAGCCTGATCGAGCGCCTTAGAATGATGAACGAGGAGCAAAGACTCGTTCCACGACCGCTACTTGCTGCTCTTGACAGTCTTGCCCAACGCATGGCTGGTCATGAGGTGATTGCCAGCCAGCTTCGCCAAGAACTCGTCCAAAATGATCGCAACAACGCTATTGATGCTTGCTCCCCGGTTTCCGACATCGTGGCAACCCCCTCTCACCAAGCTGAAAACAATGTAGCTGAAGATGTCGAGAAAACACTTTCCAGTGGGACACGATTGGACCCTCCAACAATGAACAAGCTTTTCCGAATGATAATCCCTGCTCTTGAGCGCGGGTGGGAGAAGGAGGACGATACACGCCGGGTGTTGGCAACTTTACTCGCAAGAATACGAGTTTTTGATGCTCACCATTTCGATAAGCTCATGACCGACTGGACAAGTCATATTCGTTCGATATCAAACCGCTCCTCCCTTTCTACCTTATTCCCACTTCTTATCATTACAGGGTGTCTGACAATGCCTATTATAATGAGCACCGCAAGCCCCCCGTTCGCGAATATCCAGACTCTTGCCCCAGAGTCGTCCAAAGGTCCTGCGACATACTTACAAGAACTCTTACAACTCATCATCATGCCGCTTCCCCAGGGAACAGGGCTTGTGGCTGAGGAAAGCTACCGGTTTCATACCGAGCAAAAGTGCGCCAAATTTGAGCAGTCCAAAGGATTGCTGAACCTTGTTCGAAACGCTTTGCTCGAGTACTCGACTGTTAGAAATCATGTCAATGGCAACGAGTTTCCTCTTGACAATATTGATTGCCAAGAAAGTCTGCTTGAGACGTTACGAACTCTTGTTCTGGTGGATTCCTCCGCTGTCTCAAATGCTTTAGGCATCAGAGCGCTTCCTGCTGAAGCTGTCGGTCTTGTCCGCAAGGTGACCACGAAACTTCTTATTCCTGGAGACTCGGGCGATACTCAAATTTCGTTCGATCATATCTTACAGATTGCCAACGAGCTGACACTGCCGTTCTGTCAGTTGAAGCTTAACTTAGACCTGTCTTTGCCACAGCCCAATGTAATTGAGGGACAAGATCAGAGTTCCTCTCGCTTTGAGATCTTTGCCAGGGCGATGGATCGAGCCATTGAAGCAGGCAATATTATGTGGACCAGTTTATTACCTAGTCTGAGTGACGACATTACCCAGCATCTCAAGACACAGGCTCAAACTGGATTTCTCGACTTGATCCCTTCATCGAAGGCTCCTGAATTTGTCGACACTGGGTCACGGCAGTCCCTCCGCATGGCCGAGAACTTACTAGAAGTAGTGGAGGCTATTATTTCGGGCCAAGCTCCCCCTAAGATGGCACAGTTATCGTTGGGCATGGTCGAGAAGCTGACAGACCTGTGGGAAATCGTCGCAGCAGGGCCTCAGGAGCGTCCCAACTGTCACGCCGCCGTATTACAGCATTGGCTGCCCGCCATGCTTCGCTTTGTGACTCTCCATAGCTTGTCGTCCGAGCCACCATCAGCCCCTCTTCCCACGGCTTCGGCGACACGGCCTCCCATCCCACCCGTGCATGATGTTCGAGCACGCATTGTCCTTGTTCTTTGCGGGCTGCTACTTGAGTTGGAAACACTGCCGCCAGCTATTGTTGGCTCTCTTGTCCACCAGGTCTTCGACATTGCTATTCTCCTGGTAGATGCCCTGCCCGAGGAATTGCGAGCCAACTGTGCCAGGGCCATCTTGTTAACTCCAGGCGGGATGCCTAACCAGGGAACATCATCTGACCCTCGGCTTTACTATTTATTCAGCTCACCACCACTGTCTCCGTCAGATAATCTTATGCTCTCCCACCGAGAAAAGGCGGCAACGCCTCAGAGTGCTGCCGCTCGTGGTATGGGTGCGCAATACGGCATCGGGCCAGTAGTCCAGGAGCGCCTGAGTCCCTTCATTCTTCGTCGCTGGGAGGTGCTCAGCGAGCCGACTCCCAATGTGGGTGAGAACGATACGAGCTTAAGCCTAGGTCTTTTTGAAGCTATCAAGCTTCAGTGAGATCGTTCAGGACCGGCTTGTATCTCTTCTAATCACCACAAACCAAGTTATCGATGTCAAAGATTTTGACACCCTTCATACAGCATGACGCGAAGTGCGTTCAGGCTTTTCCCTACATCATCATTAGCATCACCAACATGCATTATCATACACCCGACTGTGTCTAAGTTTTCTTTTCCTTCTTCTCACGGCTATACCCCTGTTACGGAACTCAGGCATGTTGGCATAAGCGATAATGTGCACTGCAAGACGGATATTATTCTCAGTATTGTTTATTCTGGGCTGCAAGGGGCATAGTGCATCAATGGTCTCGTCGAATATTTTATTTTGTCTTTTATGGGAAGATGACGCATTTCTTTTTGTTTCTGCTTTCTGGGGTTTGCTTGTGTGTTTTTGCATGGCGCTGATTACAAAGAGGACTGGTGAAACGGCTGATGATATGTCGAGCACAGAACACGCACGATACTTGGAGCATTTATCATGTACGAAAGACATCAAGGTTGGTGTCTGATGAGAACAGAGGGCAGAAGGCTCGCTGCATTTATCTGCATCACTCATTGGAGTGGAATAGCATAGAATTTCAATCAAGTCACTTGATTAGCATCATATCACCATCTCGACTAGGTTGCCATGCTGGAAAGCGGTGATTATGCTGATATGCACCCTATGATGCGTGAGCCTGTTGACGTGACTGCTCCCGTGGAAGTGATTCGAGAGCCATGAACATGAGACATCCCATAGACTTTTAAACAGGAGCGATAACTACTGATAAAGACCGAAGGGCCATGTGGCATAGCTTACCCTACAGCAAATTATTTGAAATGCCTCGCGTATTTTTAACTGCGAGTCTAACCCATCACATACAGAATGCCATCACACGCAAGAGAACAAATAAGATGTAAACTGAACAAGCGCAAAAGAAGCACAAGGGAAAAAAGCGCTCACGTTTGCCACCCAGTGGTTTTACACTAATCTTCAAGCACGAGAAGAAACGAACATGCATTAGATATGATGCGCCATGCAACATAAAAACAGCCAACATGCATAGACATAAACATCCCTCTCCGTCTCCTTCGACAAGCGTTACATATTATGCCCTTAACCAACGCCAGGCGCTTACATACACGTTTAATCCTCGTCAAAAATCTGGAGCGTGTTCTGCAGGATGGTGTCGATGGCCTTAATCTGCCAGCCCGCATCGGCAATGGCGGTGCTGGGGTCAGTGCCCATGAGTGTCGGGCCAAAAATGACGGCTAGGTTGTGGCAATTCATGCGGTTGTTGTGGCTGTTGTCCATGACTCTCCAGAGGTGAAGAGTGAGAGCACGCAGTGTAGCGTAGTTGGGATCAGGAAGACTGTTGATGATCGCGTGAATCGAATCGCGACGCACCGTATCGTCTTCTTGTTCTGTGCATATCAGTCAGTGTTTGCCAAGGAGAGGTGGACACACGAAAGGAAGGAATTGGAGCGACGTACTGGCAGCCGTGATGAAGCTATCATGATACTCGAGGGTGAGTAGTGGGTCGGGGAGATCACGGAAAAACTGCTTCAACAGGCCAGTAACACTATTGACGTCATGATAAAAGTTCTCGGGATTCCTAAAATCGAGCGCAGGGTTGGATGACTCTGCTATGTGATTAGCCCTGTACTTTGTACAAGTAGAACATGACGAACCTGTGTCGAACATATTCTTTAGTCTTTGTATGTGAGCCATGGACCCAGACTGGCGGTATATGCCTTCCACATTAAGGCCGTACATATCCACCGCCTGGATACACTGGTAAACAACCATTGGTACTGCCAAGCCGTCACGTTCATAAAGACGACTCAGTGGCAAGCCGAACATTGGCCTGGCAGGCCCGGAAGGCCCAGGCCCAGGAGGAGGGTGACTAGAAGCTCCATAGGGAGGTGGTGACCGTGTAGCACCTGGAGGTCCTTGTCCAGAGTTTACCCCACTTCCTGAACGTTCATGAGGAGTTTGGCCAGGAACTGGCTGTTGAGGAGGGGAACCGCCAGGCTGGAAGGGCAGGGCACCAAGTTGCGGTGGCCCAGATGAACTGATTGACCCCCCATTACCATATCTTTGATTAGGTGCCTGTTGTTGATTGGGGCCCCGACCTGAAAATTGCTGGTTAGGAGTGCCCTGTTGCACTGGCATGTTACCTTGACTAAAGCTCCTATTATGAGGCTGTGAAAAAGGTCGAGGGTCATCAGTTGGGGGAAATGAAGGGTCACCGCCAGTAACGCCAGTAATAGGGCCAAGACCAAGGGTACTGGTCCTTGATCCTGGAGCTAAAGGCTGTGGTCCGGAGAAACCACCTTGGGGCTGCGTCTGTGATACTGGTGACTGCACAACAGCTGCGGGTTGTTGGACAGGGCCTCCTGGATTATGCTGGCTGCTGGAGCCCGGAGGGTTAAGTGCCTAAAATTGTTAGTCAAAATACTGATTACTTTCCCGTAGCCACTTACTGGATTGCGCTCATATTTGATTTCACCAGTGTTGGGAGGCACACTTCTGTGCTGTGCCGTGACATAGTCATTCAAGTCTTTGTCATTATCAATCGAAGAAGCAGCCTGTCGCAGACTGCGTTGAGCAGAGCTGCCTTGGGCCCCAGGACCCTGAATGGGGCTGACACTCAGACCGTTGCTTAATAGTAGACGCTCGTTGAAGGAGGCTAAATAAAAAATGAGCTGCGATTGTACGATTTAGAATACTCGAGGATAGACTTACCAAACTTCTGCATCTGCAATGAGATGCCTGCATCAATCTCCTTAATCGAGTCTTGAAGAGCTCGAATAGCTTCTGGGCGTGTCGTCGAAACAAGTTGGGCCTTCTCAGCCTGCAATGCCTGGACGTGCCCGTGGTAGGTAGAATCAGCTGCTTGAACCTTCTTCAGCAGCTCACCCTCATGCTGTTGCGCTGACTTGTGTCCCTTGAGGCCAAACATTTTGCCGCTCTGGCGCGACTCGCCGGTCTTGACCCGCTCATAATCCTCAGCAAGAGAGTCGTACTTGGCCTTGCTCTTACGCATAGTCTGCTCCATCTCTGCTACTTTGTTCTCAGCGGACAAACCGTTTTGCTTCCATGACTTCCGGCTGCGCTCGGCAACACCAGCGAGCTCCATAAGCTCATCATGCATCTGGTGTAGTTCTTTGGAAAACTCGATGCCATTCTCAGCCATACGCTCGTGGGTGCTTGCCATAGCCTCGTATGCGTTGCCGAATGTGCCTTGCCGATGATCGGGTCGGCGCATGACCTCCTGGGTGGTACGGGTGAGTTTCCTGATGCCATTGGCATGGTCTTCTTCTAGACTCGATCGTTTCTTGAGGAACAATGCAAATTCCTAGAATCCCCAGTTAGTAAGCCGGGTTACCTGAGTGTTGGGAAACTGGATGGGGTCCAGTGGGTTTCTCACCTTTGCTGAAGCTATGCTCTGTTTGAGGCGGTTCAGCAGCGTAACAATGCCAATCTGTTGAATACAGTTAGCCCATTATCCAGACATTAAGCATGTTGCTTTGCCTGAGGTATGTCATACCTCGGAAGATAAAACGTCCGAAACTTGCTTAATCTGTTCGGAATTCACACCGGATGGACCTGATGTTTGCGTAGGCGATGTGGTGTCGGCGTCGGATTTCTGGTCTTTGTTCATGGCGTCGTCAACTGCAGCACCGCCGTGATCTGATGGGGGTCCCTGAGGACTCAATGGGATATTGCCCAAGGACATGCTGCCGGACCGGTCGCGCTCCTGTGAAGGAGAGAAGGCTTCGTTCGCCGACGGGGGGTGGTATTCGTTCATGATGCTGATGTCAATTTGGAAAGGTGTCCCGCACGAATATTTAGTTTATAATGCCGGGGAGTGTCCAAGTTGTTTGTTTGAGTCAGACTTGGTCGAAGTGGACGCTCACATTCCTTGAGTTGGGTCAGGTCGTGGAGTAGAGATTGGGCAGGAACTGTTCCGTCGCAGAGTTAAGGTAGGATCAGTGAATTGGAGCGCAATAAGCACCGTGACAATCGCGAGGAACAAGTCAAAATGGATATGCGTCAAGGCGACAACAGTGATGGTAGCGTTGGAGCAGCTGTTGGCGAATGAAGCTTTGTGTGCCTGTTCTGTTCTGATGGGGAGAGCTTCGCAATCCGCAGCGGCGGGGGGGTGATCAATGATTCGGTGCCAGGACGGACTGGCTGGGCCGATTGTTCGTCGAGGCAGCACGGTCTTTCGGAAATGATGAACAGCGGGGATGCACAAGGCAACGCAGGCGAATACGCGCCCGTATAAGAAGAGGTGACAGAACGGATGGGGCCAAATTAGAGAGGCAAATATACCTCGAAGGTGCAAGATGCAAATGCAATGCAAATGGAGATGGAGTCGGAGTTGGAATTGGAATTGGAATTGGAAATGGATATGGATATGGAGATCGCTTGGCCGGCCGCCGGTGGGGAGGGAATGGAAAGGAAACACTGACTGTGAGCCTGTGAGGTGTAGACGGACAGATTGGATGGAACCTGGAACCATAAATTGGGCTGATTGTGGCTGAGCCCACCTATTTCTTGTCCCCTCGGGTTTCAAGGCAGTCTCTCGGGGCGGTTCTTTAGCGGTGTTAGGGGTCTCTTTCTACAGGACGGCTCCAGGGGACGAGGGGGACGGGACCCTTTATTTGGTGGCTACGTCTGTCTCTCTTAGCTCGATAACCCCGATCTCAACTTCACCCAAAACAAAGACTTCCATTGGCATTGTTTACCTCCACTTCCTCAAAGTTAGCACGCACAAACAAAAGCGCCTCGAATGCAAGAGCCCGGAGGAATTACCTTACCCATGATCCTTACAAACAGTGCCTTGAAGCCACCCACCCACTACCTACCTACCTTACCTAGGTATGTATGATTTCTTACAGGGAACGGCTACTCAGCCAAGACAAGCTCTAGGTACGGAGTACATACTATACCTAAGGTACTGATGGTATGTAATACCTTTAGATTGCAAGTGGACGGGAAGTCTTCTACTTACGTACCCCCGCCCACTCTTTTCGCAACGTGTTTGGCGACGAGTTGGACAAGTTCAAAAGCCACAACGGCTGACGGCAGTTTTCTAAACGCTACCTACTATATTCACCTGGTTCTCTGACTCCTGATGTGATATGCGTCGTTGCTGACGGATGGCTATCGTTCCGCCCAGGACTCTTTACCGATTGAAACATGCCTTCTTCGGTGGCTGCGGGCGCCAGCATTAGTTCGTCTATCAAATAACAGCCAATCTCTCGCACAAATGGTAGCCTGCTGCGGGAACCGCAGTGCTATTACCCTCTGCGGCCTTATGCAGCCATATCTGCAGAGGCGAGACAACGTTTGTGTTGCGTTCTCACTTACATTCATACCCCCTCACCTGACGGTAACACACCTCAACCACACACAAAAGCTCCAACAGGGTTGATCTATCATATATGCTTAAAAAGGGATGTCCTAGCCTGCCAACAGAGCGTACAACTCTTTGAAACGTTGAGGTTGTCGCTCAGACATATATGTAGCTTCTCCTATTTATAACTCGCTGGTTAGTTAGTGTTGAAAATCCTCAAACTAGACCTCGTGTTTCATATAAGATCCTAGCATATTCTATTCCAGCAGAGGATACGCGCACAAGACTATTGAAAGTCTACCCGAATTGCCGAGACGCCTGTTTCTAAAACAAGAAAGACAATATGCAGCCACAGCCGCAAACAAACAACATCACCCGCATTGGGTGGTTTTGTCCTACAGTCTGAGTCTTTTATGATCACCCTTGTAGAAAAAAAAAAATAACACCTTGCTACATACATGTCCACGAAGGAAGAGGATGGCTGTATTCTCCGACAAACGAATGCACAAGCACGCCGTGTTTGCCACTCTTTGACGATGCAACCCTAGGCCTGACAAACAGACCAAACGGATTTCACAATACACATCAGCCCACCTCAAATATTCGTTATCGCAACACACGCATGTTGGCTGCTGGATAGAACAAGGGGCTAGGGTTCGGCGCCAACGTCAGCCCTCCAATGCCGATACCTTACTGCAAGTGCATGTCTGGTGTTACTGGTTAAACGAGTCATCAATCTTCTGCGATGCTACAGCTGTTGACTTAATCCGCGGGTGCGACAGCATTCTCGATGGCGAATTTGGTGCAAGTTGCCGGACCCAGATGCCGTTTGCCAAACACATGCTATCGGGTGGGTGGTACTATGGCTTGATGAAGTACCATTCTGATTCATTCGGTCAATCATTCAATTCCTATCTATCAAGCCCGGGGTATTTACAGTCATGCACATTCAACCAGGCCACCCACTCCAGAACTTTCGTAATACTCAGGTCCGTTCGCAAACAGTGTGCGAACGAAGTCTGGAGTCTGATAACCCTCTCCTCCTTCTTCTATGATCCTCGGATATCCGCTCTATCAAGACCGATGTCTGGGTATGAGTATGGTTGCGAACAGAGCGTCGTCTCATAACGACCTTGTCTCGCCCCCACCAATATATGAATGAAATATGCGGCCATAATGCTATGCTGATGCTATTAAGAAAATGCCCGAAATTTCCAGAAAGAGACAAACTGACGGAGATTGCTCTGAGTCGTCCGTACCCCATGGCCTTTACGCCTGGTATAATGCTGTATAAGATATGTGCGTGTGTTGAAACAAGAAAAATTATAAGAGAGTAAGGCGCAAATTCGCTTTTGATCGTGAAGTGAAATGGAACGAAGAATATGTTGTATCATAAAGGTAGTCGTGTGGCAGTCAATGTGATGCTGCGGATAGACATGCAAATTATCTTCCTCAGAAGACAAAAGAACCATTAGTCAGTCATATGCCATAGGAAGACCTTGCTATAGCAAGGGGTTCCCCGAGCGTTTGGCTTGGTCTGACAAGAACCTGCGATGTTTGTTCAGGCCACGTCGGTGTGGGAATCGGTGCGTACTTGACACCGTCTTGGTCTTCGAGCTCCTTGCGCAAGATCTCAATGGCAAGTTCCCACCGACGCACAAGCTTAGATTTTCGTGCAGTGAATGTGTGCGCCAGTGTTTCTTCCTCCAGGACCGCCTGAGCATGCAACTCTACAAGCTCCTGTCGATTCCGCTCGAGTAAGGTTTCGTACTCTGCCTCTTGTCGGTCGATGAGTTCTTCCATGCGTTTGGCCTGGCGATCCCTCATCACATTAATTTTGGCCTGATGCGATCTTTCCATGCCATCGCGAATATTGTACTGTTGCCCGAGCTCTCGAAGATCGCGTTCCGTAACCACTCGATGTGGTTGGGAGTTCGAGCCTGGGCTTGAGTTCGCACCATTGCGTCCCAACCCATCACAGTAAGCTTCCATATGCTTCAGTCGAATCCTGACACTTCTTTCACTCGCTTCCAGAGTGTTTCTCAGGTCCATCTCGGCAGCTACCTGACGATCCTCCAATTGGCTCACAGCCCTCGCGTGTTTTTCTTTCATGCTCTCCTTAAACTCGGCGTGACGCTTCATCATCGCACATTTCTGCTCGACAAACCGAGCCCTCATGTGCTCCCTACCCTGTTCAGCGAATTCGAGGAATCGTCCAAGTTCTTGCCGATGCATCTCGGCGAGGTTGGAAAAATCAGCTTTGTTTCTCGTTCGTTCTTCGGCTTCTAGGCGCTCGGCGGATGCCGCTGCAGCGGCTGCTTCCTGTGCGGCCTTCTCGTCTTCATATTTGGCTAGTTGAGCCTTTTCCTCCGTTCTCCTCCGGTCCATCTCTTCCTCCCCATCGCAATCGTTCGGGCACCCAGCATTAGCATCCCATACACCTCCACATGTGTAGCAGAACTGAGCTTTGCACTGACAAGTCATATGTGTACTTGCTTCTTCAAGTGGCACCAAGTTCTGGCATTTGTAACACCGTTTCCAGCCAGCTTTGCCCCCTTCCTTGATAACCTGATCTAGTTCCCAATCTTCCGGGCAGTCCTTTCCTGTCGGATGTGCGTTATGTTTACACATAAGGCAGATTCTTGTGTTGCATTTGCGGCAAGTGACAGTGGAAGGATACTTTGGGTCCAATTTTTGATGTGGTGGAATGAATCCTCCGCATGAAGGGTTGGAACAGAATATTCTTGCCTGCCAGGGTGTACTGTATTGTATAATGGCCTTCAAAAACTCCTGTTGGGCGTCGCGACTGAGAAGATCCTTCATCAAGGATCCCGGCAATGGCTGAGCACAGCATCTCGGTGGCATGCTCGATTCGTCGGACATGGCTGTGTGGATGAGCGATCTTAGGCAGTTATCGCAATATGTGTGGCCACATGAGATGCTGTGTAATGATTTGGAGTTCTTGAAGTCCGCACGGCAGCTCGCACAGGTCCTATGACGAGAGTCAGCACGCTCTGGTTTCGTGATACCATGTTAGTCGGAATCCGGTTTAGGACGCACAATATGACCTGAAGTGGCTGTGGGGATGCCTTCTTCTTCCATCGTAATCTGAAGCCCGACCTAACGCTGAAAAGGCTGCGTTTGGTCTTGCCGCTGAATATACTCTGAGCAGTGGCGTCGGGCGTTTGTGAGTCCCTTGTAGTTTTTGAGTGGTTGTAGTGAGGGTCGATCACTGATAGATAGCGATCATACTGGGAAAAGCTCAGATCCTTGGATTGCCGGGCACTGGAAAGCGCCAGATCAGGTGTAGATGGACCAAAGATAGATGAATGCGTGGTCAGGGCGGTGCTTGTGGATCCGGCAGAGAGCATAGAAAATGTTCGAGCATTATAGACTGTTGAGGCTGACTCGACGCTTGAGGTGATACGCTTATCAGTAACAGGCGC